GATTGTTCTAGTCGAGTGCCCCAGCTTATCATGTACTTGATTGAATTGGAGAGTACGTGCATAGCTAGCTTGATCGACTTTTGTATCGTGAAGCTTCACATATGTAAAGCTCTCTAGGTGAAAACCCTCGGCAACAACTCGTGCGATAAGCTAAAACATACACTTATTGGGACGTTCGTCTCTTATTTTCCCTATAATTCAACGTCATCTCTTCGTGATGCGCCTCCATCTATGGCGATTTAATTTCTAAGTCATCCGCCCAATTCCCTTATTTTCTTTCTCGGCTTGGGCTTCCATCCGTCGCACGGACGTCGGCCCAACTACTTTGTGCCACATATGCATGGACCTACCAAAGGAATCAAGAAGCAAAATGTATTTGATTGGCGCGTATTTTCATGTGAGCCGCACTTGTTTTCATATGTATTTTGCTTTTATTTTGAATTTTGTCCCCCCCTATTGCTGGTCACGCTCCGCTACTGCTAATAAAATAATCTGGCAATTCTGGTGGGAAAGTAAAGCAGGACAACATAAACCAGCATGGTTTTTTAGGAAGGCATGACACAACCGAACTGTATGGGAGAATTGGGTTTCAAAGATTTCAAGTTGTTCAACTTAGCTCTCTTAGCTAGGCAGTCACAACGCATACTTCAGTTTCCTGATCTTTTGTTGAAAAAAATGCTTAAAGCTATTTAATTTCCATCTGGCACTATTATTCCAGCAGAGCTGGGCAACCACCCTTCTCAAATTTGACGCTCGGTGCTTGAAGGAAGAGATGTTCTTGGCCAAGGTTTGATTAGAAGGATCAGTGATGGTGAGTTCGAGAATTTGGGCTCATAATTGGATTCCCAGGGATGAAAAATATGATACATATTGCTTGTATTTCGGCTGTACCGCCAACTTATGTCAGTGAGCTCATTGATAGTACGGGTGCTATATGGAGGCTTGATGTGATTGAGCAAACGTTCTTACCCTTTGATGCAGTTACAATTATGAGCATACCTCTTTGCACAAGGAAGGTTGAGGACTTTTGGGCATGGAACTTTGAAAACAATGGAAATTTTACCGTAAGGTTGGCGTATCGTATGCTAGTCACAACGAAGAAAAGACAGGAGGATTGGCTAGAAGGCCGTGCATCTTCCTCTGATCATGTTACAGATTCCAAACCGTGGAGTAAGTTATGGAATGTGGATGTTCCAAAGAAGCTTCAAACTTTTTGTGGAGGCTAGCTAAGCACTCATTGCCTTTTGAGGATGTTCGACACCACAGGAAGATGTCACAGTCTAATTGTTGTCAAGTTTGTGGTGCTAGAGACTCGTGTCGTCATTCGCTACTTGAGTGCACAATGGAAAGATGTGTATGGATGTTGGTCGATGAGGACCTTGCAGAACACCTGATAGTAGTGAGTGAACCTAATGCCAAATAGTGGTTGCTTTCCATGTTTGATGTCTTACACTCTAGGCCATAGGGACAGCAAGAAGAAAATCAATCCATGAGGGGGTCTTCCAAAGTCCCTTTGCAACTCATCTTTTTGTTGAACGCTTTATTTATGAGATGGGTAGTCTAAAGGTCCCTGCGTGAGAAGGCCTGGCCACAGTTCGAGCTCCAAGGCAACAACAGACATGGAATCCTCCACCTTCAGGGATAGCAATGATCAAAGTCGACGGTGGCCTCTCTCGGAGTGGCAAGACTGATGTTGTTTCAATAGTTTGTCACAACCATGATGGCTTATATATTGGATCTTTAGTTGTTCTTTTCCCGAGAGCCATAGACTCGACATATCTGCAAGCCATGGTTTGCTGTGAAGCTCAGGCTTTGGCCATTGATCTGTTGCGGGATGACATCATTATTCCATGTGACTACTAGTAGGTAGTTCAAGATATTAAGACTAATTCTGAAGGTAGACATAACCCAATTATTAGAGAGATTAAAGAGAATTTACATTTGTTTAGAAAATGTGAGTTTATTTGTGAAGGTAAGGAGAGTAACAAGAAAGCACATAGTTTGGCCGAATTTTGACTTTCTTCATATGAGGTTCGCCACTTGTGGCTTGATGCACCTCCATGATCCGGTTTGTATTTGATTAAACATTTTGATTGATCAATAAAGTTATCCATTACCGCTAAAGAAAACCTATTATGCAAGGTGCATAGGTCCCCACACGACTCATTCATTCATTGAACGGTCCATCCCGGAGCTTGAAACCTTAAGAGCATTGTTAATAGCACAGCCAACTGCTAGCAATATGATGTTGTCATGTCATCTATAGTCATCACTTATACTAACCCATACAATGGTTGGCTATAAAACTAGTACTTTTCCCATCTTCTCTCTCTGTCCTCATATTTACTGTATCTGCCTAGGAGCATGTCTATAGCTAGGCTCTTGCATGTGTGTCCACTCCCCTTACTTTTTCATGTCTTTCTCTTTTTTTGAAAGAAAGACCGTAAGGGAGACCCCTACAGTATAATTGGTGCAACAAACCCAATTTGCAAGTACCATGCCTTGAACCTGGGTGGGTGGGAAGGCATCAACCCCTTCCCACCACTAGACTACGCCTTAGTCTGCCATGTCTTTCTGTTTCACATAGGAAAATTTGACATGTGAGCCAGTAACAAGTCTGTTATTGTACTTTCCCTAAGGAGTTGGGGTCAATGATCGCTAACAGACATGTGACTCAACTGCGATAGGAAGGACCACCCGACAAAGGGCTCCTCCGACAGGGTTTGCAAAAATCCATGTCGATGCTCGCATTTCAAACACAAATATGAGGGGCTCCGTTGCTGTAGTGTAGTGTTCCGAGACCAGTTTGGAAATTATTTGGGAAGCTCCCCCTTGTCATATTGGGACTATAAAAAGCATCTACATTACAAGCTATCACGTGCCGTGAAGGCTTGTCTCTGGCAAAAGATTGAGGCCTTCAAAGCTTCGCAATTGCCTCTGATGCTAAACAGGTGGTAAGCGATATTGGAAAGAATAGTCGAGGCCGGTATGGCTCGGTCATCTCTGAAATTAGAACCAGGGCAACAACTATACTTGTAATTTTATGTTTGAAGGACAGGTGGCAATCGGTAAAGCTCATAGCTTACCTAGATTTCTCTATCTTTAGGCCAGGGGCATCATGTGTGGTTGATTCAACCGCATGATCCATTCTATATCCCACAAACTATGGTATTTAATGAATAAAGTTTGTTTTCACCCCTAAAAAAACAACTACCTTCGATCCATAATTAGTATTGTGATTTTAGTTCAAATTTGAACTAAAACCACGACACTTATAATGGATTGCAGGGAGTATTATAAAAGGCTATTATAAGTGGCGACAAAAAGACTTATTATAAGTCTTAGACACTCTTGTCCATTGGCTCTTTCAGTCGCCAAGCAACTTTGGATTTATGATCAATGGCGTTGGTGGACCCAAGGTTGGAGAGGATAGTTCACCGGACGCGATGTTCGGTGCAGTCATCGTCGACTACGGCCCCAACACCCAACCTGGTGCGGGGCAGTTATCTCTTCTCCTTGTTTTACTTCATTTTTCCTACGCATTTTGCAATCGAATTTCATGTCATACTGCTAGGTTGTTCATTTTACATAGTGTTGTTAAAATTAATACTCCCTCCAATTCAGCTCTAATATAACTTGTACCAGAGTTGCAATAATTAATTTGGATCAAAGGGTCGGTTGTTCACTGCAAGTTCAGACCAACAACACAATTTGGATTTCTAGCCCACCCAGTAAACACGTATTAGGTTCATACCTCCACATAGTATGGTTCCAGGGTGAGCATGGTAAAAGTTTGGGATGGATCTTCTCTTCAAGGATAGTCCTACACTAGAAGGGTTGGGCATGCTTTGCTACGCCATTTGTGTTGCTGTTGTTTTTAAATACCCGCCCTGTTTCAAAATATAAGGCGAATTACTTTT